CATTCTCTATTCAGCATTCAAGGTAAGTTATCATTTTCGGAGCTCTTTTATGACCGATTACATTGTTCATGTTTGTTAAAGCCACAGGTGATGTCTATCGTCCTAGTCGAAATGGAACATATATTCAAATTTTCAACAAAGCAAATCCATCAACTCCTGAATGGCAAGCAGATTGTGGATATTCATCAGATTGTACTTATACTGGGCAAACTGTTCTTTTCTATGTCCGAAATGCTAATTGGGTTTATGGTGCGACTTACTGTATTTTATTTTCAAGTGGAGCTGCATCGGGTAATATATTTTGTAATCCTGAATCAGATCCTATTACAGGTAATCTTCTTGTATCATAATGTGAAGCATTCTAGGAAATGTTTTTCTCTCACTCCAGATACAAACTATTGGAATTTCAACATTTGGGATCCAGCTGTTTCAAGTACGACGACAACGACAACAACTCCACCAACAACTGGTACTGTCACAACACGTGTAAGTCTCTATTTTGCATATCGTACTATATTAAGTGTACTTTTATCTCGATGATTAGCCTATAGGGACTACTACTCCTGATGCTAGTTTGACTACGACTGGTATTATAGCGACAAGTGCTTCGACTGTACAGACAACGACAGTAACAACAAGTACAACGACGGCGACATCGACGACAACTAGTAAGCCTCGAAGTTACATGGAGGAAACATTATCTTTTTTTTGTGCTAGGCGCGACAACAACAACATCAACAACAACAGAAACTGAAATGAATATCTTATCAGCAAAAGAGTTCGAAGAATATTGTAAACAACCAGTTGCAATAGGAAACGCTGTATCAATGATCGTGATGGTTCCAGTAAACATCATAGGGATGTTTGCTTTTTTTACTAAACTTGAGAAAATGTTTAATCCAAATCGTTTAGCAGTAAAAGCTCGACATGAAATGCTTGTGAGTCGAGTGTGTTAGTATGTTCAGTGATGACGGATATAAAATGTTAAAAGTGAACAACACGGATATTTATTGAGTGACATATTTTGTTCTACGTAACAAATACATTACTTGTTGTGTGATATGAAGCTGCCATTTGACACATATATTCTTGCTCTTATTTTTAATTTCATAAATAAAATCGCTTTTTATGATCCCAGAATATTAATCTTAATGTAGTTTGTAACTTGCTATGCCATTGAGTGATAGATGATTTAAATTTAATACTTAGCAATAGGCGCGATTCCACTAGGCATTACTTCAGTAGTTCGATTCAAACAATATTTATAGTTTTGTCATTATTAATAATGTAAGTTTGTTTTACTTTTATTGTTGCTATTATTTCCTTGCTTTTATCGGATTGAATTGCGGTTGTTTAAAAATAACTTGTTTGCTGTTGGAAAGTATAGGCATCATTCTTGAATTTATATGGTATAAAAGAGGAATAGGTGGATTTGAGATTCATACAAATCATCGAGATATTCCGAAATTAAATATACCTATTCATTTTTGTTGAGACACTTTCTTCTTGTCTGACTTATATGTTGATACACTTATATGACTTACGAATCGATATATTTTTTATACTCGTACAATCGATTATCTTTTGAAATTGGTCGTTCGTGTCACTAATATGATGTTACACAGACACAATGGAATCAAATTTAAATTATTTTGATTATTTTAAATATCTACAATATGTCTAAGAATGATACAATATTTTTGCATATTCTTGAAATACAAATGTTAACGAGTCTATCGATTTCTGATGTGTGACGGATGCGCTGCTAGGATAAATATTCTTCTTGATATTTCCGTCAAGGTTCGTCTGGATACTTTAATATTTTCTTTTAAGATTTGGAATTCAATTATTTGCCAGAACGTGTTGCAGTTTTTGCTACAAAATATCAAGCAAGGTAATACTACGAGACTCCATTATAGTCAACTTTTGTAAATAAAAATCAATCTGCTTATGTCTATTCGTTGAAATTTTAGAATAGTAAAACAAATAGGTAGCAGTCTTGCAGCACTTGGAAAGCTCCATCTTGTTATTAAGATAGTAAATGTTTTGTATCAAAATCTGTCATATAAATGAACTATTCTATTTCCCAAACTTTACAAAAATAACAACTTTGAATCAATGACTTTATGATGCTCAAAAAACTGTCGTTAATCAACAACGAAATGAATGATGTATCAGATTGAAATGTCAGAATTTGAGTAAAGACTTTTATTCGAGTACATTGTCAAAAACAAGCAAAATTTTACATATTTTCTTTTGGCTCAGTTTTTATAAAGTGATATATGCATCGTAAAAACTTGGTTGAAACGAACTTCAGTGTACATTGTAATTAAGAAAACATTTAGTTATATCCCTAAACGTATTCCGTCACGTTATTATATTTCTATAAAATTATTTAAAAATGCTAAATTGTTCTGAAAATTGGGCATTTTCGTGCCTTGAAGTAACGGGTAACCCATAATAAATGGCCGCACTTTGCATTGCATATTTTTGTTTCAAAATACGTATTATTAAAAAAACAAAATATACCACGAGCTGCAGCGTGAAAAGCTCTACAATTTACATAAGATCGCTTATTTTATAGTTGCACTTTTTATTTTCAAAATGGACAAAATTTTGAGCGTCCAAATTTCGACCGTGCGAAAATTACTCACACAGAATTTTTCTTTTTTTGAAAGCAATTACACTAAGCTTTACTGTGTAAATTGTAGAGTGTTCCACGCTGCATCTTGTGGTGTACTTTGTTTTTTTTTTATGAAGACATATTGTGTGATAAAAAGATAAAAGGAATTCTCGTTCGTGTAGAAAAAAATGATTTTTTCGCAACGACGAAAGTTGGTCGCACAGAATTTTGCTTTTTTTGAAA